TATCCAAAATTGCGAGGAAATACATAAATCCACAGCTGCTGTTGTAAACACTCAGTGGGGGTAGGAGCCAACAAAGTAATCCATACAAAGCATTTGTATACTTCACATGGACACGGAGACTCTCTGCGGAATACGTCATAATCCAAATCACTGCCTCTACAGCGCCAATAAACCTGGATATCTATGATATAACGAAAACATGCTGAAAGCTGCATCTCAGATCAAGTTGATTCATTCGATGGTAATGATCTCCTCCTGCGTGCCTTATTCGACATCTTGAATGGAATGGTTCGCTGTTATTCTGGTACTAGATCGAAAAGAATAAAAAATTCACCGGTTGCTGAATCAAAAGTACTTCTCTGCATGTTTAACTGTATTCTAACTGCTATGATTAATTCCAAACCATTTATCCCATAATCACTCAAATTCCAGGAACGATCCAATTCTACCATTTAAAGAAGCTGGCGGACACGATGTAAATGAGTATTCATGATCTGAAATAAAGAAGCAACTGGTTTTCAACATTTTACTCAACTTACGAGTACAGTCCGCCATGCAGACACAAATGGAGAATTCTGGAATCGACCTCGGCACCACTTGATGCAGTAAAACAACCCAACATGACCTTATCTAGTTTTCGTATCCACGATCAAATTTCTTTCCTGTTATGAAACTACGATAAGACTGCTGAAAAATGGAATAAATATATCGCTGATCTCAACATAATACATCAATAATCTTTAAGCCAAGCGTGCTGTTCACAACAAAGTTATATAGGAGAATTGACTTCAAGCTTTATTTTTCCCAGATATTTGTATTACATTCATCTGATGTCTGGGTTTTTTGTTAATGCGAAGACAATATTTCTATATCTCTTTATGTGCTACACAAACAGACTTTATAGCAGACTGTTCCGACTGACTATAATGTCAGAAAGAACAACCAAACTGTAAGTCCATTATACATCAAATTATGTGTAATTTATATAATAACTTATCCATGCCTGTACAATCGGTATGTTCCTGCATAAACAGGAAGGAATATATATTATTATTATTAAAACAATATTTATGCATGCCTATACAATTGGTGTACCCTACATAGCTAGGGAAAAAATGTACTTTATTATATTATCTTTACTAAATATGCTTATTAATCTTATGTGTAACTTATCGAATTGATGATGCCTGTAAACTGGCGTCCCTCATGTAAAAAATTGAGATTATATTTTATTATTAATAATAATGATACATTGCACTTACTTATTTTATTACACTTTAGTGATTCACCTCAGCACTTTAAATTTTCTAAAACTGCTTTCAATCCCTTGCAAACGTTGTACTTACCTCAATATTTGTTGGTCATCGTATGTCTACAACCATGGGATGAAAACGAAACGAAGTCGATTTTCCCGCTCAACCTGGAGGACAACTGTACAATTCAGTAACTATACGGCCTGGTTCAGGCAATCAGTATATATATATATAATGTTTAACTGTTGAAACATAATTAACTTGTAGACAATCTAAGATTTGACATTATGTCATACTTGATCGTGCCTGTAAAAATGGCATGCATTTTCATGTAAATTTATATGTTTATATGAAAATATAAATTATTATCATCAAATACATCAACTTCATTTCATCATTTAATAAAAAGCTACTCAACGTGACTTCAAACTCCTTTACAAACTGTGGATAGTTAGTTGGGTTTCCGTCGAAACACTGAGGCTCGTATTTAGGAAGCTTAATATTCCTATTATCCCCAGACGGCGAAACATTAACATCAACCTTATCATGTTTAACATCAAACACATCGTTACATGTAACAGACAACTCAACATGACTTACTTTCCTGCTTGCTTCAAGACGCCCCGGCCCTTCTTTGACCCAGGCATCATTGAAGTTCACCAAAATTTCAAGAAAACTTCCGGATAATACTTGTCCAAAGAAGACTTGCAGGCACCAGGAAAGACGAACGGAAACTATCAGAAACTGTCAGCCAAGTCTCATAAACTGTCAATGTCCAGCTCTTGCCACGCTGTCCCTCGAAGACTTTCAGAAACGCTTTGTATTAACCAACTCGAAAATCAGAACATTGATTGGCGATTCAAGAATCCTTTATTTTTACGCCAATATATGACCAAAAATAATGTTATTACACAAGGTCTAAGAATTAATGTTATTACAATAAGTCACGATATTACTTCTGATAGTTTTTAATCGTCCTTCGAACAGCGAACAATGAGATGATGACTGCGGGATTGATGACCCGCGAAAAATATAGAGTTGGCTTTGAGCAAACTACCATGAATCGATCGTCAATCTTCAACTGCACTGACAATACTTCTGCGCAAAATATATCTTAGCATACATTTTAACAAAGATGTGAAGTTGACAGTATGTTTCTGCGTATTTACAAATTGAGTCAAATGAATTCTGTCTTCGCCCTGTCAGTAGTGATAATAAGGTTATATGTGAAATGTTAAGGAAGAAAAGTATAATTATAATTGGGGTTACAAATACGTATCAGTGGAGGCTTGCTAGGCTATCTGATCCCTGTTTTCCCTAGATGAGGAACATTAGTTGGGACAAGATCGATTTAGTATGAAGTTATTTGTGACCAAATGGAAACATGACACGAATCTATGGAGTTCATAACTGCAGATCTGAGTCATACCGGCCGGCCTAGATTGCTTAGTTACAGTACTGAAGACACCAGAAATAATGATTTGAGCCTCTTTGTGATATGAATCTGGAGTAAAACTGGAGTGTACTAATTTTAGGTGCAGTGGAGATAACCGAAATTCAGTAGCTTTCCAGTGATCAACCACATTAATCGCCCGGCAATGAAGTTGAAGGTCACCTGGCGTTGACTTGTGTGAGATTTATAAATTTGAATTCATAGCATTATTATTATTAATTCTCTCATTTGTATCATCCCGTATACCTTCATTAACTGTCTACACGGACTGGTTAACTCAAGCTTTGCTGCTAAACTTCCCTACCGTCTGATACGCAAATGCCTATATTGTTAATGTCTAATCATTCAGTTAGGATTTATCCTCATGTCATCCTGGCTAAATTTGCACTCGTAGTCCGTGGTCCTCCAACAGATGACTATAAGTTGTAGGGAAAGCCATGTATTTGAAAATGGGACGCAACTTCCCATATCGCTGAAGGGAATTATTCTCTGTCATTTATCTGATTATTTAGGCTCTAACTTGTGTATCAGGATTGCCATGTTTAAGTTCAAGACCAAATTGATTTTCATGAAGTGAAACTGCACCCACTTTATTTATGGAATTTAGCTTATTACTGGTGTTTTACAGAAAACGATGAAGATTTATCGGCTTACATGGATCACAGTAACCACTTAACCAAAAGGAATCTGGTCATAGTCTGTCATTAGTAGTTTTCCTTGAAAAGACCACATTTGTACGTCTGAATAAGAAAGCTAACGTAAGAATCTCGATATATATCACCTGTTCGAAGGGCCTTCAAGTGAAATCCATACGAAAAATCTCCAACTTTTATTCACTGAACGAAGCTTTTGTTGAATTTTAGGCGGCATCAGTAGAAAGGCAGGCCTTTTGAAATGCCCTGAGGATGTGTTTACACATTGATGTGATAAAATCAGGTTTAATTTGTGTGTTTGAACCCACTGTACCCTTCTATTTTTCCAGGCAAGGAGTTTGGACTTTATGCAGACCCCGTACTATCACTGATAGGTACTTCTTTCATGCAAACCAGCAGACTTTTCACCGTTCGGTAGGTCTCTAATTTCTTGGGTTACCTAGTTGATGCTCTTTACTGGATGCTTTGAAAAGATGCGTAAATACTATGTTTATGAGCTCGTCGTTATACTTTGATTCGATGCGAACAGAACAAATAGTGATCTCTGAGGGGGTAGTTACAGTTATGGCGACAGGCTGTGGGGAGTTTTAAGTGGACCTACAAAATTAAAAATTCACTGGATCCACCTTATTGTTATTGAGCAGAGGAGTTATCAAATCTACCATAACCAGGCTCACGACTACACTATGTCTCTTCTCCGTTAAATTCTTTCACAGTGGTGTACCCACCGAAAAATTAAGTGTCATAAGACACTGGCATGAACAAAATAGTATCCCTAGGAATTTTCACAGTGCAGGTAGAAATCTTGTCGTGACACAGAACCTGGAAAGCACAATATAAATAGCTATGTAGAAACAAATAGTGAGCTTACTTGGAAGATCTTTCGGAAAACGATATTTTCAGTCACTACAAAATACATAAGATAGTGCATTATAATGAATGTGTAAATTTACTTGATTTATTGTTGCGGTTGTATTTCAGTGTGTTCAGATGCTGGAATGATCGGCTTTTTTGCTCATTTAAACGCTTTTTTGCACTGCTTATATCATATAAATGGATTTAGTTGGCCATTCCCTGACGCAGAAAGGATACCGATACACTTAAAAGAGTCAGAACAGTCATTTACTAGTTGGAGTAACAACTTACTATGCTAATAAACATTAAAGCCCTAATAATTGTGTTTTCTGAGAACAAAGAAGCTACAAATCATGATGGATAAATGCTGAACTAAGTGTTTATACTCTCTAAAGGCTTAGTCTCCTTATGGGACCTTGAAAGGAAGTTGCAAAGTTTTCATTGACGGAAACAGAAGGAAACTTAAAATTTTATTCTATTTTTATTTGTACTCTGAATAATTACAGAGTTAAGGTTGGAAGACTGAATTTGTTTACTCGGTTTCATTTCTGATTGTTTGTTTAGTTAAGTCCAAGCACACAATTATCCGGGCAGTACGGATGCTGCGCTGGAAGCTGTCTGGGTTGTGATTCCAAGACTGTCATGTACTCTGTAGCTGAATGCTGACGTCATTGTCAAATCAAAAATCATGTTTTCATGACCTCAGTATTAATGGCTATCTTACGTGAACTATTTAGGCATTAGTAAGTGGATCATATAGCTAATTCCTGTACAGCTTTAATTGACATGGAACAACCACCTATTCGTATTTTGAGACGACCATGTCCACATCCGTCTGAGATTCAGAAAACACCACAGAGGTTTGTCTGAGCACAGGATTATCTATAATTTTAGGCCAACTGTTGTCACTAAAACTCTTGAACAAAGAGAGGCAGATTATGCCGCTGCAAGGAAAAGGATTATGGGCTCCGCGACTCCGGATCCAGCTGAAGTGGAAACGAAAGATTCAGAAGAGTAAGTGGTTTTCTAAGATATTCTTGTTTCCCAGTGCATTGCTGAGGTGGATTATCGAGAGATAATTTGCATTAAGCTAAGCAGTGTCTATGATTTTATCACTGGTCCATGGATCAGTTAACTTGACGGGGTCTAAACACTGGCCTCCCACACTTTGCTCAGCCACTGCATCTACTGAAGACCTAGAGCTGAGACCACATCCCTGGCTTCTACATGGTTCACTCTTAGCATCACCTACATCACTTGTCAATTAGGTTAGCGGCTTGGTATGTAAGGCATGGTACGTTGGATTCGGGATATTCAGTGGCTTTTGTTTTCGTCCTGATGCTCCATGTCTGAACTTTATATTGTGTTCTATGATCCTACCCTGCCTGCTTTGTAGCGTGTTTTCAAGGTTTATTCAACAGGAAATGGGGGTCTTAATGACCCCATCTAGATAAACTTCCGGCATTCTTGATGCACTTTGCTTGTTATCAATTTGCTGAGGTCCGAGTATTTGCCGCATAGGCGAGTTGATTAGTCCATTTAACTAAAAATCTGTAGGATTGAAATTAATACGGGCGAGTTTAGCAGTATCATGGTAGTTTGACCTGAACTTTTGCTCCGAACTTTCTAGCAACTTCTTCCAAAGTGCTATGTAGAACCGTTTGAAGTGCTAACTTGTGGATCGATTTTTCTTTGAGACCTGTTTATTCAAGTATAGGTTTGCCGGACAATAGTTATGCGTCTCAATACCGTCAAGGTTGTCAAAATTAGTATAAACCGGCTTGCACTACATCAGCTTTTTGGTTGACTGGTTGTAAGTGTTGCCCAAGGAGCATCTGTTTGACAGATCATCCAATGTCCCGTATATATCGTCACCTGTGGGTCACATATATACACTTGACACTGGGCTATTTAAGACAAATTTTGTAGACTTTGTTGACTAGTATTAGTCATCCAATGAAATCACTTTTCCGTATTGCTGTGTGGTCATCTTTTCAGTTAAGCTGCCGTCTTCTGAGTTTAATTGGTTACTTGGTCGTGTCAGTGTTAGAGCGTTTATTGATGGACAATATTCCAAAATGCTCCCCACTGTATTTGCTTATATTTTATCTTCAAGGAGATTCAAATCCGTGAGGCAGTACCAAAGGACTTTAACTAGTTTACTCTTACGTAAGTGAAGACGAAGGTGGCTGCCTCTCCATTGTATCTTTGGTCATACGCTGGGTTTTTCTTCCCATCACACCGTTGAGCTTGCTTCATGTAAAAGTTGTTTTGGTCCATTTCGAGTTACGAGTGTCCATAAAGTTTTGAGGGGTCTTTGTTGTAATTGTTAAGAAATCCTTCCTTAATTGTGAAACCAACATCCTAGTAACTTCAGTAAATAACGTAAATTTGTCAACGAGTGGTCATCAGTCGGTATTCTCGTAAGAAATGGTCACATGAAACTTCTTACTCTGTAGGTTTCAGATGTATGAAATGCTACTCAATAGTTAGATACCGTAGCTACCTTATACTCTAATCTGTGAGGAAGCGCCGAACACTACCAACTTGCAAAGCCGTGCCATAGTTAAGCGAAGTCGAGTGACTCTTACTTGCACTCAGACGAATCAGTTGTTTCCTTCTGTATACCGTGGTAGGTTCATCCTTGGTAATTTTGGCAGTGATTCGTGTACTCTGGACTTCATTTACATTAGTCTCCAACATACATTTAATGTATACAAATAAAGCATTTTTGGAGTGGGTTGAGTCACTGAATCACATACAGTTTTTATCACTCGGCTATCTAAAATCTATTTTCCACTTTATAACATAGGTCTGACATTACGAAGATAACGGAAGATATTAATAATCTAACTTTGAAGAAAGATTCATGTATCCGACTACCTCTACTACGACGCAGAATACGGAGGTTAATGCTCAGAAAAGCCTGTCAACTGAAGTGTCAGTAAATCGGTTGCAAACTAACCAGAATGGAGCACAAATCGCTTCGTCCCAGAGTTACAAACAGCCTCTAGAAGTTGGTGCCAACCGAAAGCATCAGCAACATGCGCAGTCTACATCAAATGGTGTTCGACAGAATCTGGTAACTCATCAACAGCGCAGTGCAACAGTATCTGCCAATAGATTATCTTATTTTCCTCAACCCTCGCCTCTTTTTTCTTTTCAAACTGGATATAATAATGTTGGTCTTCTTCCTACGCCCCCTGGTTTTCACTGCTCGCTTCAGAATGGAACAAATGCTGGTCTGCAACAAACGACTGCAATCACTCTAATGCAACAATTCAATTTGCTACAACAGCAATATCAGCAAACTCTGACCGGATTTCAGAAACAGTTGGTATCTTCTGGAGCTCATTCGTCCACCAATTTTAACCCTTTGAACTTCTCGTCATCTCTTCCTCAATCTCACATCAACCACAAGTAGGTTATTTATGACATACATTGTACGATTCTTTTTTGGGGTGCTATCAGCGTGCTTCTATTTGCTACTACAACTACTTTTGAGGTAGCGAGCATGGTAGCCCGGCAGCTTAGCTGCATGTCACAACCTTGTATTCTTCCTTTAGCCGTGATTAACTTCATTCGGAATTTTTTCTGAGTGTTCCCTACTAGCTAAACAACATAGCCTACGGCGAATCATCTTATTTATCATGTCGCTGTTATTTGTCCCTATACTTAAGTGTTTGTGATGACTTTGTTTTTAGGTATACTCACCCTCCAACTTTCAACTGATTTGAATCCTGCGCTAATCAACATATGAAGAAGCGCTCCTATTTTTCATTTTCAGTGCTTTCAAGCGCGGTTACGTATATATGATTTCATAAAATACTTCATGCTTTCGATTAGTTCGTGGACAACTGTAACACTGTTCATAGCTTCTGCTGTGACGTTTTGTTCATCATAATTACTCATGTTTCTGTATAAATAAAGTACTTTTAAAGAAATATTCTGGACTTTGTTTTTGTTCCACTTGGATATGCGTAATGGAGTAGCGTAGAGATAAACAGCTCATCTGGTTGACACGTGTGCCAGCAAGGATGAGATTCTTGAATAGCAGTAACTGAGAGTGTCATATATACTTTCCCTTCTTATTGAGTAGTTTGTAGCACCAAGAGAATACTTGGGGAAATAAAAGTGTAAAAGTAAAACCTACAGTAATGCTGCAGACAAGGCGCATAAAGGGAAACTCATTTAAGGTTGCTTTCACATTCTTATCTTGTGCTAGTCATAAAATACTATCCTTTGCTTATCCTAGTGAATCAACTTAAAGGGAGTGTTGCGCAATGAGGTGACGTGGCCTCCAAAGCCTCAGGATGGTCGGGGGTGGGTGTCTTGCGCTGCGGGCTAGCCACCCCTCCGTACACCTCTTGAAATGCTCCCATATGACCGTGCGCCTTACATAGCCTCTCCTGAGGAAGTCCTACTCACTGCCTTCACGTGGCGGAGGTGTTTTTCACCGAAGTGAGAGGGCAAAAGCGGATGCCCGGCGCTCTTCACCGGGTTGACTGTCCATTGGATGACAGTCTAGGGGAGATGGCTAAACCCTGATTCCAAACCCCAACGACTGGCGTATGAAGCTCACCGGCAGACGTATGGACAAAGGGCTTATTGGATGCCCTGGATGTCTGGCCCCGTTCAAAAAGGCGTATGAACCGGACTCCGGTCACCGGCTGCCAATGGATAGTGGACTCCCTACTCCACTCCTACTGCCTTGTAGGTCACACTTGGCTGTGTAAAGGCTAGAGCTGCACTCTCAAACAAAAGGCCGAGCGATTCTGGGGACATCACTCGTACCCAATTCCCGTGAAACTTCATCAACTCTCTTACAAACATTCGAGATGTTCATGAAGCCGGTTCATCCTCCCATAGGAGATAGCCGAAGTAGAGAGAGAGAGACGTGGGTCACCAGGTGTTCAGGATGACCAATTTCTGTTCTGTGTCCCTGCTGTATTTGGTGTTTGTAAGTTGTGGGATTTGATTACTCTAGGTTTAATGTCAGAATCGCCATCCTTCACTTCATGTCACGTTACCTGCTGACAATCGTGTTGAAGACGACGTGTCTGTCTGTTTCCGACATAGAACTTTGCACCAGTGTGGGGCAGTTCAAGTCGCCACATTCCATGTAGCACACAAAGCTAGAGAAGAAGAAATGCTTAGTAGAGACAGTAAACAGAGGTGTGAGACAAAGGAATAGTAATAACGAAGAACAATGTAGTTTCATTGGAAATCACAGGTCACAAGGAGTGGTTGCATCTGCGCCCGCTATTGAGAACGATTTTGAGCCATGTCACCAGTTGTTTCCAACCATAGATTTTTACCGTCCCGAGGACCCCAGCCTGGAAGTCTACACCTTCCTACGTGACTGGCTGAAACTAACTGTTGTAGATTTCATTGACTGGTGAGGCCATGTTTTTGTTTGACTTCCGCTAGCTCTTTTCCAGTCTGACCCTATATCAGCTAATATTGCCCGTCGAGGAAGGCTATGACTAGGCATACGTAACACATATCCTAACCGTCTCAGTCGATGTTATTTCACAGCCTCATCGATTGATTTCCCCTCCTTACCTAGCACTCGACCGGTGTCTAAACTCAATGTTGCTCACCTTATTATACCACTTCACACGGGAGATAGAACGCAAGCAATTATGATCAAAGACAGCTAATCTTCTCATGTCTTCCACTCTCAATGGCCACGTCCCACAGACGACGTGCATACCCTATGCACACCACTGGATCATATTATCACGTACTCATTTGAGAACTTCCGGATATTGTCTGCGGTAAATGTTGTCGTCAATTAGTAGATGGTGTTACTTTGTGGCTTCATAACTGGTCACAATTGTCCATAACAAAGTTTGATCGTATTGTTTCGTAGTATCTATGGCGAAATCAACAATGGTGTAGTACACGTGGCCGTTAAAGAAAGAGATCCAGATGAACGACGAAAAATGAGGGATGACCCTTGCTTAACAGAATGGCTGATGTTTCATTTGCACGCAAGCAGTACCGAGTCTTCTGTTTACCCTTTTATCAATGCTGATACTAATATGTTCTAACAAATATTTCATCTGTCTTAACCAACCTAATTTCCTGAAACGTGACTTCTCAGATGCATGAATTTATCAGAAACACTTGACACATTGTGGATGATAATAAGAGATGATCCACCCAAGATCTCATAGGTTGTGAGAAGGGGCTGGATACTGTCTGGAATCCTAGTTCGAAGCAGGTGGCTGTCTTAAATAGCCAAACTCGAGGCTTTGAATTGAAGTCTGATACATAAGGCAGTGGACTAGCGTAGGGGACTACGCCCCCATGTTTTTGGTGACCTTAACTGAATCATAGTCACTTGACCCATTCGGATTCTGTAGCCCTTGTATACCGTAGGTTTGGGGTCATGGTTTTCCAGCTCCTTTAGGTAAACTTGCACGTCCGTTAGTTCCTTTGTAAACAGCAGACTTTCTCACTCACCCTTCCACTTATGTCAGGAACACCGTTGCCGTGTGTGGGCGTTAAATGGGACTTACACGGCAGAGGCTGTGAATACGTGGTTACATGAGAGCGTTTCAAGGTGGTGGTGGTGGGGGGAGAGAAACCAAAGTCACCCACTTCAATGTAAATCATCCCGAATTACATCTAAGGCTACAAACTTGGCAATAATAAAGCAAAGATATCGAGAAAATGTTTCTGTGGCTACTTTTTATTTTATTATTACCCAATAGGGTTACGCTGCTGTGGGGCTTATAGCGACACTGATACCAGCGAAACGGAACCCCTAGATCATAGAGTCTCTGGATTCAACATAGAACTTGGCACCGAAGTGCAGCAGTTCGAGTTGCCACGAGAGTACCTAGATAACTACATGAAATGATTTTTTGAGCAGAAAGATAGGTAAGTTATTTTCAAGCTTTTCCTTGAGAAGTAGTGTGCATCAGCAGTGAGGTTTTTAAGGTTCGTAATTAAACTTGTCTTTTTTTCTGATTAGCACCAGCGAAAGAACTATGTACGGTGTCGAGCTTAAAAGCCATGTATAGTGTACGGATTGATGTATATTAGTCCAGCATAGGCTACATTTCTAGCAACGACTGGAAAGGATACTGAAAGACTATGATTTCAGAGGACAGCTGACCAAAATAAAGAAACCGATAAGAAGTGAGATTGTAAGAAGTAAATAAGACAGCTCTTATGTAATAATCATTAACAGCATAATGATGAACGGCTGCGTCGGTTGCATAGCGGTTAGGACGCTCGCCAACCATGCACATGGTCCAGGGTTCGATTCCCGGCCACCAACGCACTCTACCTATGTTATCTTGAACAATAAGGTATTCTCATCAACCTTCACTCAATAAGTATATCTCATATCCTGGTATATGGAAAAATCCACTCTAGATAATTGAGTTTTAACCTGAGAGACTGTCAGGTCAAAGCAGATGAACTAGAGTACGATGCAAAACGACAGTACAGTGAGAGCCACCGTTCCCAAGGTTGCCAGTAGCCCAAGTAAATTCATATGCTTCGCGTTTCTTCCAGATCCTGAAAACCATGTGAACTTCTGGTTTGCAATTGGCGTTCTCCAACTCGCTTAGGTGAGGTGGTGAGTCTATGGACGCTTGTTAAAAAAGAGAAAGCATTTCAAGCAGAGATTGGATCTTACTTACTCTCGATCACAGCAGTTATTGGAGAGGAGTGGGGAGCGATTGTTCGATAGAATACATTGTCGTATTCACTTAAGATTAGTGAAAAATAATGTGACTCTAATCATATAGCAAGTATAGTCACTGACTTTACTAATTAATACGAGATCGTAGTGTGGTGAAAGCAGGCTGCTAGCCAATTGGTAGACATTAATTTACGTCAGTGTCTACGTCGCTAATATTGGTCGTGGGAAAATATGTACTAGACTGATTCAACAACCAATCACAGCAGACTTAACGTGGGCAAATACGATTCGCAGATATATGGCTTAACTTTCTGAGAAACCAGTCGCAAGCAGCACAGAATAACCTTGAGCAAGAAACAACCAATCAGAAGACTGTGTTTGTCTGCTTGAATAAGCTGTAATAACGTACATGAAATACATATAAATACGTGTTGATTTCCTAAATAAACGATCTGTTGCCTAGCCCTTGTCTTCTGTTGTTACAGTAGGAGTTTTCACTAGTATATATGATGACAATGGATTGCTTCTTATTAAAGCTTTAAAATTTGGTTATGGGTGTTACTGTGGTATTTGACAATATTAGGATGGGATAAAATAGATACATTTTTGAATCAGAATCATCTCAACTAATCGTATCTTACTTGAATATTTCTACTTATTAGTAAAATTATTTCTTATTATTATTGCTCCCTTGGGTTCCTAGTGGAACATAGGGCTTCAACTGCACGTCTCCACTTGCTTCTGTCTTTTTCTCTTCTGTACTTTTCACCTGCATCCATGTTAGTCCATACTGTTTCAACTCCTCTTCACACGATCTCCTCCATGTCACCCTTGCACCGACGACCCACTCTCCACTTCCCTTTCGGGTTCCACTCGAGCAGTAGCCTGACGCGCAATGTCACCCAGCGGCCTCCTGCTCAGCGAGTGTCCAATCCATTTCCACTTTCTCCTGCATATTTGTTGGTTGGCGATTGGTTCTTGTTTTGTTTGTTCCCATAGTTTCTTGTTGGTGATTCCTTCCGGCTCGGCCATCTAATCTTCAGTATAGAGCCAGCGAAGACAGTTGTTG